AAGGTTTACAATGTAGGCTTGAGGGTTTCGTTTACGACTGAGGGGTTCAGGCTTTAAGGTTTGGGGTTAGGGTTGAAGGTTTCGGGTTTGGGGCTTAAGGATTTGCGGTGTAGGGCTAAGGTTTTGGGTGAAGGGGGCAGGCACTGCGGATCAACCAAGTTGCGCGACCCTTGCGGGTCACCGACTAGTAACCGTCGCCTGCTCCAAACCGGCGGCGATGACCAAAGCGGTAATCTCATCCTAAGTCCACTCCTGCGGCACGCCAGGCAGACGCCCACGAACGAATCACAACCTCCTTCGCTGGGTCGACTGTGCGGCCCAAATTGCTTTCGACCAGAAACCAATCCCCAGGAGGGTTTCAGGAGGATGCAAACTTGAAGATAGTCTGCCTCAGACTCGCCGTCACTGGAATCAATCCACTTGGCACGCCGAGTACACAGGCCCCTGTACTCTGTGCTTGAGCATTCATCGAAGCCCTTGCGGCCACAAGCACTAAAGCTCTACACAAGACGACGCTCTTGACAGCGTCCCACAGTGCCCCCGATGAATTCCCTTCGGATGAAGCTGTCGTACACACCCTACTTAAAGATGGGACTTAGTAACTCGGGTTAAAATTAGGGTAACTATTCTTATAACTACTTATAACCCCAATTAAGGTACTTATAACCTTACTTACTAAGTCCCATGATCCTCCAAGTATCCCAGACACAGAGCAGTGCGCGGGCTGTTGGGTCGCAGGTTTAGGGTGTGGCTCGAGGCCGAGGATGTCACACAGAGGTCTGAAGATTATGCACATGTATCCCCTGCCTCTCATGGCTTTTTACTGTAATTACAGCACAATGTAAACCTAGAAACAAACCTTTTGTAGGGCGCCGGTCGAAAGATGAAACAAAAACACCTATCACACCCTACCCAAACCTACCTATAAAGACTACATAATGCTTATTAAAGGGAACCTGTGAAACCGCGCTGAAAACCATAAAAGCTCATCAAGCGCTTACAAGCCCTCATGACTTGCAAAACCCTGAACACCCGATCAGAACACAAAGATGAAGGCCTTTTAAAAGCTCTTGACAAACCCGTTAAACATTCAATGTTACAAACATTTACAACGTGAACCACTGACTAAAATCCGCGAGCCAGGCGGGGGGCCTCGGAACGCTGCTCCGCCCTCTCTGCACGACGAAGCAGGCGCACCAGCTCCTCTGAGCTCCCCCGAAAACAGAGGCTTGCATTACTTGGAGGATCATGGGACTTAGTAAAGTAAGGTTATAAGTGCCTTAATTGGGGTTATAGGTAGTAGTACATATAGTTACCCCAATTCTATCCCTAGTTACTAAGTCCCATGATCCTTTAAGTAGAGTTCACGAGGCATGTCATATGGTTTGACCAGGTCTTTATATGACCTCTACACTGATACTCAAGACCCCAGAACCTACGACGATCCCTAACCGTCCAAAACTCCCTGCCTCTTAGTAGGGAATGGGTGGATGGATGATGGGGACTATTATTGGGGATTGAAGGGGAGTTTCAAAAAATAGGGGACCCTAATATAGTACCCTAAATAATAGGATCCTTGTTGCAAGGACCCCAAAATAAGGTACCCCGCTTTTCGGAAACTCTCATATAGGGACTACTATAGGGATCCATTCCCCTATTCACCCTACTAAGCACCAGAGCTCCTCCGTCTCTTCCTGTTCCAGGAAGGCGGCCGGTGAAATCGTCGAAGGCCTCAGAGCGCAGGCGTGTTTTGCGGGTTGCAGGCTTAGCGTTTGGGGTTAAGCGTTTCGGGTGTAGCGCTTGTGGTTTAGGGGGGTGTGGGGGGGTCCTCGTGTTTTTGTGTTCTGGGCTTTGGGATTTGGGCACGGCCCATGCCCTCATGAGCCGCGGCAAGGTAACGACGGAGGCAGGCTGCAGCCCCGAATTTCGGAGGGGGCGAGGCCTCACAACGTGTGGCACGTGTGGCCCCCGTGGCGCCTCTCGAACTTGCTTTCTCTGCCCGCATCGGCTTGCGCTGTTGGCTCGGGACTTCTTCACTGTCTCTTCTTCCTGCGACTTGTCAGCGGCTTCATGGACAGCGTTGCGAACTGACGGGTTGTGACTGCGTCGACGAAAGGCATGACCATGCACAACCTTTTTCCACTCGTTGAACACTCGGTGTACCTCGTACACTTGGAGGTTCATGGGTAGTTATAAGTGGGGTTATAAGTAGGGCAACTATACTTATAACTCCTTTTGGGGACTTATAACCCGACTTATAACTACCCATGAACCTCCAAGCACGGGTCGCAGAAAGAGGCTTCCCGCTGGCACTTGGAACAACCTCGTCTCATCCCTTCCTACGCGATGTGTACCGATTCTTCAGCTTGACCCTCGGCTTCCAGGGACCTTATTAATGGGTCCTTAAGAGGTCTAGGGCCCTAACTATAAGGTCCTTGGAAGCATAGGGTGATTAGGATCATGGAAAGGGCGTTTTCTGCTGTGGCTACTGAGGGTCATGGCGGCGAACATGGTCGCGGAGATGATGATGCTGATGACGATGATGACAATCATACAGAGGAGCTGGTGCCGGAGGACACGAGCACACGAATGATACACACCCTAGACCCTAAACCCCTGAACCCCTAGACCGCTAAACCGCAAAACCCCGAACCCCCGATCCCTGAACTTCATGCTGAGGCTGAGGATGATCCCTTGTTGCAGACCTCCACTCCTAGAAGACAAAACCCCCCACAAGCGGACGTTCCTGCAATCTTCAGCTTCCACTTTTCCCAGTAGCCCCTTTGTAATAGCAAGCGTGCCCTTGTTCCTTATTCTTCGGTTTTGAGAAGGAGACCAACATGCAAAGGGCAAAGGGGTACTACTCAGAGGCCGCGGATTCTAAACCTTCACCCCGGTGACACCCTGAACCCTGACACCCTAAACCTCTAAAACCCTAAACCCGAAACCCCTAAACCCTAAACCCGAAACCCCTAAACCCTGAACCCCTAAACCCGAAAGCCCTAAACCCTTAGCCACGGTGATGACGCTAAGCTCTGGGTTTAGGGCGAAAGCTTGGGGCTTCTAAAGCAGCCCTGAGGTCAAAAATTGGGTTTTGAGGGTACATTATACTACAGTCACCCTTCTTATTTACACAACCCACAGCAATATGATATTTACGCTACAGTTATATAATTAAAGATCATCTATATTTCAACAACCCCCAACGATTTAGGGTTTAGGGTTTCGAGGAATATGAATATGAATACTCTTGCCTTGCTTGTTATTCCGACCCCTTCGTCATAATAGGGGTCCTGCTCTTGTTCCTATCCAAGTCCCCCTGGGCTCTGCATGGCCGAAAAAACGAACCCAACAAAAACTTCAACAGCCTACTGCATGCATCTCAACCGGTTTAGGTTTTATTGCTGTAAGCCTTTGCGCTCCTCAATCCAACCGGTTTAGGTTTTTTGTTGTGGCCTTTACGCTCCTGAATCCAAAACTCTAAACCCCGTGAGCGAAAGCAGAATTTCGGTATCCCGTAAAGCTTGAGCCATGAACTCCGGCTAGAGCTCACAGCACAAGACTTTTTTGAGGGTTTAGGGCTTACGGCAGGCTTTATAGTAGAAGCCAGGAAGTTGGAACATCCTTAGCCTCATGTCCGCAAAGTAAGGTATAGGGAATCCCAGCATGGATCATCCTAAATCTACGTTCCAACTTTCTGGGGTTCACTTATAGGGTTTTGCTGAGTATCGTGGTGGGATTGTGTTGGCAGCGACCCTTTTCTCATGGTAGCGGGACGGCTCACGCGTCGGCTTGAGATTCGAAATTGAGCGGATTTGGTGCCTACCTGGAGTAACCAAGGTGCCTTAAAGAACGTCCATGTACCAATTTCTCGGAGTCACATCCCTTTCTTAAAGGTACATTGGCTACTCTAGGTACAGGGCTGCTAAGCAGATCTGGCCGTTGGGCTTTCCCACGCCGGGTACAATAGCGGAGGCTTTATAATTGGAACAAGGTTTTGGGAAGCACTTTAATCCAAGGCATAGTATTACAAACTAACCGCTTTTTGGCGTGGGTGGGGCTCAGAGCGGCAGTGAGACTCGAAGACTCTTCTAGCAGAGACCCACGTCTTCACTTTGCGTCCAGTAGGGCCACGAAAAGATTGAACCTGTGCCCGATAACCGGGAGCTCGTTCACACGCCCGATCACGATGTTCCTCGTCAGTCCCAGCGATTTCGGGTAATCTGCTGTAATCTGCTCCACCTTTGATCGTCAAGAAGCTGCAGAAGCTCCGAACAAGGCACTGACGCTTCGGCAGGGGTCGCAGTTTCCTTGGGAGAGAACGGGTTTTAGGCTTTAGGGTCTATGCTTTGGAGCTTTCGGGTTTCAGAGATGAGGCTTTAGGGAACCGAGTGTGGAGGTTTCAGGTTTCTGGCTTTCAGGCTTCAGGGCTCTAGGGCTTCAGGTTCAGGGTTTTTGGGTTTGAGGAAAGCGGTCCCATCCAGGCCGAGGCTCCGCCGCCCGCGTCTTGCACGCAGCCTGTAGACGTCGCGAAGGAGTCCCGGAAAGAGGCATCCAAAGCCGAAGAGCCGTCCAGTATGTAGGCGAAGACTCAGCCTGCATCGTCTTGGGGTTTAGGGTTTAGGGCTTAGGGTTTAGGGATTTCGGGCTTGGGGGTTTAGGGTTTAGAGTGTAGGGCAGGGTCGCGAGCTTATCATACTTGGTTCAAAATATTTAGAACTGAGGGTATTAAATTTCAGGGTTCAGCTGAGGGGAGCATCCAGGCGAGTACGTGTCTGAGGGTCATGGAATGTGGCAAGCTATGTATGGCTTTAGGGAGCAATTCGGCCACATGGCTGGACACCCGCCCTGGATGCTGATTCCGCCCAGCCCCTAAACCCTAAACCCTGAACCCTGAACCCTAAACCCTAAAGCCTATACCCTAAACCCTAAACCCTAAACCCTAAAGCCTAAACCCTGAACCCTAAACCCTAAACCCTTCCGCGCCGCCATCGAGATGTTCATCCCCAGCTTTGGCATGTCAACACATGAGAGCCGCTGACTCTCCTGGCAGGCTTCTGGTTCGTGCTTTGAGGGCTGCAGTCTCGGGTTTAGGGCAAGGGCTTCGGGGCGTAGGGTCGTATCCATGAGGTGCTAGGATGTCGCAGTTAGGGTTGAGGGTCTGAGGATTTTGAGGATTGGGCTTTAGGGTCTGGGGCTAGCGTCTCAGGGTTTACACTCTTCGGAAGAAACTCCATGCTCTAAGCTGCCCCGCCACCCGAATGGAATCCCAAACGATCCTTAACAGCAATCCCAAGCCCAAAACCGACAGTAAACTCAAACCGTAATCTAGAAAGTTTTGCATTAGGGTTGCGGCTGCAAGACCTCGGGGCCTGGGCTTTAGATACGATATTGCATTGAATTAAGTATACCACACAGTCATATGCTATGCTATACTAGCTTGTAACTACTATGCTACACCATGCTAGAATACGATGCTAAACTATGCTATGTAGTATATACTATGCTAAACGATGCCATGCCACACTACGCTATACAGATAAGCGTCGGAAGGATCTTCACCAAGGGGCTTGCGCGATTGTCGAAGGGAGTCATGGACTGGAGCGACCTCGGGAGCAAGACGGGAGTTTAGGGCTTTTTGTTGGGGTTGCTGGGGGGGCTTACATAGGGTTTAGGGATTTGGGTTTAGGGTTTAGTGGTTAGGGTTTAAGGTTTAGGGATTAGGGTTTAGGGTTTAGGGATTCGGGTTTAGGGTTTAGGAATTAGGGTTTATAGGGCTTAGGGTCCAAGCGCCGAAACTTAAGCCGGGCCGGACTAGACGCAACCACATCCTTGGCTCAACCTGAAAGTCAGTCTTATACTTTGGGTGCGGCCACCACTCAGAAATAGTTGAATAATATTCATTTTATAGATATATTAGGACCTTCATAGTAGCCCTATTATAGACTATCACTGTATGGGGGCAGTACCTAACGTATACTGCTTCACATCATATGCTTAGTCACCTGCAGCCCAGAAAGGACCTGACCCAACTGCTGATGCCGGAATCAACACACCACATACCCCCCGACCTTGAGAACCTAAACCCTAAACCCTAAACCCTAAATCCTAAACTGACCTTGAGAAGTCCATGCTTGAGTGCATTTTCTGCTCTTCGCAGCGCTAGCAGATCGCTGAGCTTCTGACTGTATCAATGGCTCCAGTGGCACGACCTGCAACGAAGGCAAGCCGTATGGGCCCCCCAGTAAAGAAAACACAGGTGACAGAGGGTCGAAATGGGAACACTGCACCTGCAAGAGTCGTATATCTAAACAGGGACCCTAGTTTAGAGAACTACCCACTACGAGAACAGCAGAATCACAACAAGTTAACATAACTTCCGTGGCTCCAATCGCAAGTAATCCTACATATGAGCGGACCTACCGAAGTGCTTCCTTTGTAAACCTTACAAACGGACATGGCTAACACCCAACCCTTGTTTAACAGTCCAATCATAGCACTTTCCAACGCTGAAGGGAAGGTTTGCATTCCCTCCGTAACAACCTGCACCCTAACACCTTGATCCCTACACCCTAAATGGGGGTTTCCGAAAATGGGGGATACCAATACAGTACCCTAAATAGCAGGATCCTTGTTATGAGGACCCCAAAATAATGTAACCTAATGTTCGGACACTCCCAAATGAGCACTACACCGGTGCAGGAAACACCGACCTCATCTGCTGGGGCCCACATGGTCCTCTCACCAACAAAGCGGAACTATCATGAGGGCTGACTGCGAAAAAGGTGTCAGCGTGCTGCTGCTAGGCCTTCAACGCGAAACCCTAACGCTGAACCCTGAACAGCGGTTCGGGGCTACAGGTTTAGGGCGTGGGTGCGGGCGTTCTGGGTGGAAGCTCTCGTAGTTATGAATGCTTCAACGACCAAACTCCCAAAAGCTTGCGGGTGTCGCATCTACCTTGGATCAGTTTGTTTGTAGATTTTGGTGCTCTTGGACAACTGCAGACTCCAGCGCCTGGATCCAAGGTTCTAGGAAATTCATAAACGACACAAGACGTCCCCTCTTCTTGCTGAGCATTGCCATCGTCATGGTCATGCGGATAATCACCATCGAAGCTATATCGTCATCATCATGATTATCCACAGCAGCAGCCGCCGTCGATCACCAAGACCATCAACAACATCATCAAGAAGAAGCAAAACACTGAGAAGATGAGGCAAACGTACTTATACTATGGTTTAACTACAGCGGTCAGGCCAATAATGTCAGACACCCCTGACGGTGGATGCAGGACTTCCGGTGAGCTCGAAGCTTCAGCCACAAACTCTGCTTCTCTGCCGCTTGGAACCACTCAACGCCAAACCCTGAGCATCAATGAACCCAAAACCCCAAATTCCGAACCCTAAACCCTAAACCCTAAACCCTAAACCCTAAAACCCTAAAACCCTAAACCCTAAGCCCTCGAGGCTTCCTGTTCACAGGAACGAAGTGCACATGAAGACGGAAGATGTTCGGGGGGAAGTGCAGGAACACCGCGACCTCGCGCTCGTCCCTGCAGCTGGGCAGAGCAGGGGCCTCGTAAGGATTTAAAGGGTTCTAGCGGGTTCCATAAGGTGTTAGTGGGTTACATGTGTGTTTGTAAGATTTTATAAGATGCTCTTGCGTTTGAAAAGGCTTGATGAGGTGCTGCAGCGTGTGGTCGGTTGTTTGTCCGAACTTGTAGGGCTTTTTGCAGTGTTAGCAGGGCTTCATAGAGATTAGGAGGTGTGCGGCTAGGCTAGGCTTTACGAGTTTAGTCTTCAATAGCTGTGGCTCTAGATTCGGGATAGAGATTCCTGCTTTGAAGGTGCAGGGCTCGAGGTAGAGGGTTTCGCCGAGCCTTCGATTCCGACAACTGCGAACCGCACGGAAAGAAATCAGATCCTCACACTATTAGGGTTTAGGGTTTGGGGTTTAGGGTTTGGGGTTTAGGATTTAGGAAACTCAAGATCTATGCGAAATAAGCTTGTCGACATTTTTGGATCGAGGCGCTTCATGGGAGGATGGTCGAATTGAAATTTCGATGTCGAGAGACTCCTGGTGAAGACAAGACCCCTAAACCCTAATTCCTACACGGCTCCTCAAAGTCGCAATCCGGGAGTCGTGTGTTTTGATTTCGGGATTAGGAACCGAAAGCCCCCAACCCTTTGTTCTAGCCTCAAATTCCCTTTACTGCCTTACGAAAACCTCATAATTCCCTGATGGAGCCCGGACAGAGATCCTACAATTCCCCCTATTCCCTTATGAGAACCGTGCTAATATAGGGGCCTAAATAATTACTAATACTATTTGCGGGGTTCCTGATTATAACTATAGTAGAAATATACCCCCAAACCCTATTCTACTTAGTAAGACCCCTACATTCTAGTACCCTTATAGATCCCTGATAGTCATGCTTATAACACCCCTTTAAAGGAACTTAAGGCCCCTACATTGGGAACCCCTGAGCCACCTCAAGGCCCTCTGCTTGTCCAGAACCGCCTGGGTCCCCTCTGACAGCAGTCCCTTGAGCAGAGCCACGTGCCTGCTTGGAGGATCAGGTAGTAGTAGGGTTGCTTTAAAGCGGTCTATAAGGGTTCCTATGAGGGATCTATAATAAGGCGACTATAATGTAGGATTGTGGGACAGAGTAAGTCAGGTTTAGGGTTCCTTTTAATAAGGGTACTACAAGGTTCTGTAATAGGGTTCCTTAAAGGGATCTATAGGGGTTCTATAATGGGGATCATGGAGCTTAGTAAGTAAGGTTATAAGTACCTTAATTGGGGTGATAAGTAGTTGTAAGTATAGTTACCCTAATTATAACCCTAGTTACTAAGTCCCATGATCCTTTAAGTAGACCCCAGAGTTCGTAAGTAAGGTTCCTTGAAGGGGTCCTTATGGGGAGCTATAGGGTTCCTTAAAGGGATCTTTAGGCTTTAGGATCATGGCGTTCGGGGTGTCATGGGCCGCTACGAGCGCTTCATATTATGGACTTTCTTGGTGCTCGTGTCGGGCTCTGGAGGCCTCTTCAAATGGCTTCTACTTGGAGGCTCATGGGTAGTTATAAGCAGGGTTATCAGTCTCCTAATATGAGTTCTAAGTACAGTTACCTACTATAACTACCCATGAACCTCCAAGTATGATTCTCTGAAAGCTTGGCTAGAGCTTTTATCTGGCTTACCGTGGAACCGTTTCGCTTCCAGTGCATTTCGGGTACCCTAAACCCTAAACCCATATCTGAACCCCAAGCCCATCACCCATCCAAACCGTTACCCATCTACACCCTAAACCCTTCAACGAAGGAAGCCAGGATTTCAGGGTTTCCAAAAGGACAGGACGAGACCAGGAGGCTCCTCAGACTTCAAAACCAAACAAAGCCGTAAGTCGGCAAGAGCAAGCGCAAGTTGATGATAAAATATGTTACAATATGTCATAATCATAGCCATTATATGTTTATACTACACAAAAGATTGTTTACATGTGCATGTATGTATGTATGTACGTATGTATGTATGTATTATGTATGTACGTATGGGTTTACTCTCCTCTTATGTAGACATTCTCTCCACGTGGCTTCCCCTCAAACTGCACTAGAAATGCACGATGCGCTGGCCGAAAAATGCTCGAACATGAGGAGAAATGCTACACCCCGAAGGGTCCATGTACCCATGCAGTAGATACTTCTGGCCTTAAAATGGTCCCTATATAGGCAGTTTCGTGACAATGCTACCCATGTTTGTTCATTTTTCGAACACATGGGCCCTCAGGGATGCAGGTCTGAATAACTAGTTACACCATTCCCTTTTCGTCGACGGACCGTTATAGTACAACGTACTTCAAAACCCATTAGAACCAGACACGAACTGTTACAACTGTAATCATTCAGGCTTCTGGTTTACACAATTCAGCCTTCGAATCTTCGGACCTCGATGCCTTCAACCGATCGCCAGGCTAGCCTTCGCCCCCTTGAACCCCGCAAAATCAATGTAGGGGCCTTAATAATTAGAATAGGGTTTGGGGGTATATGATACTATAAGTAGAATAAGGAACCCCTTTAAAAACCCATTCTAAATAAGAAGGCCTTACATCAACCAGCCCCAATACTGCTACTCCACAATCTGCGACGAAGTCTTGTGCGATAGACACGTAAGTTCCGGTTACTCCATCTATCTGGGCCCTTAGGCTCCCCCCATCTCCAGCTGTGTGCAACTTTTCTACATGGCCAATAACTACAATCATGCGTTTCCCTCGAACGTCCTCCTAAAGTCCTAAGCCCCGCTAAACCTTAAACCCTAAACCATAAACACCCTAAACACCCTAAACCCCCCAAACCCTAAACCCCCTCAACCCTAAACCCCTTAAACCCTAAAGCCTAAACCCGTTAAACCCGAAACCCTAACGCAACCCCCTGCCTGGCCTGTGCCGCAGCTCCCCCGCTGTTCGCAGGTCGCCGTGCGTCGACCAAGCGGTGTAGTGGAAGCCTCTGATGGCTTCGGATGAACTTACCTTTGGTTAGTAGGGAATGGAAGAATGGTAGTAATAGTAGTTATAATTGTACCCCATTCCTCCATTCCCTACTAACCAAAGGTAAGTGAATGCAAAGTCCAGGGTTTAGTGTGTAGAGTTTAGGTTCTTTTTGTTGATTGCCTTTTGATGTCTGCCAGAAGGCCCTCAAAACGCAGGGTTCAGGGTTTAGGATGTAGGATTCAGGGCGCAGGGTGTGGGGTTTAGGGTTTGGGGTTAAGGTTAATGGACCAGGGTGTGGGGTTTAGGGTTCAGGGTTTAAGTTTGCGGGTGTGGGGTTTAGGATTTAGGGCTTCAGAACTAGAATAAGGTTCTCTCGGTTCTTTCAGGGATATAAAAGGGAGAACTATCAGGGTTACTATAAAGGCTACCACAAGGGTTCTACGATGGTTATCGAAGAAAGGCGACTACCTAATTCAACGACGGTCTTCGGGTATACTATAATCAATGTAACAGTTAAACATAAGGACCCTCGAGGATAGTACTGCTTATTGGTTAGGCCCCTATACTACGTAAAGGGGTTGGGCTTTGGGTTTGGGGTTTTAGCGTTTGGGGTTTAGGGTTTGGGCTTTAGGGTTCAGGGTTGGGGTGTTAGACTTGCTCGAGGGCATCCTTGTGATGGCTTCTAGTGGCGCCCCGCTTTTGGGGTTTATGGTTTAGTGTTTCGGGGTGACAGCTTTTAATGGTGCCTTGCTTGGCATATCATTAGGCTTGCTTTCGTATTGGCTTCTTTCACGCCATCATTGCTGCCAGGAGAATTTTAAATCGCAATGGATGGACTATGGCTGCGCTGGTGATCAATGAGCCTGCAGTCAATATGCTCACCGCTGCTATGGGTAATGTAGGGGCCTTAACAATTAGAATACTGTTTGGGCTTATATTCTACTATAGTTATAATAAGGAACCCTAAAAGGCCCCTACATTGTATGACTGCTAGCTTTCGAAGGCTTAGTAGGGGCATCGGATAGCCTTTAGAATCTTTAGAGAAAAAGGGTTCGAGAGCAGCTGCAAGAAAAAAACCCAACCAGCAAATTTCCAGACAGTCGGAGCAAAGATTCTTAATACAGTGGCCTCAAATTTGGGGTATATTATACCAGAATTATGATGAGGAACCCCCCAAAATAGTACTGGTAATTATTTAAGCCCCTGCATTACAAGGATCCCCTATTCTGGGTGCCTGGATCCCAGGCCCCCGTTTGCAAACGTTAGGGACTTCCAAACGAAACCCAAAAGCTATGAATGAGTCGATTCAAAGGCGAAATTTCACATAACTGCAAATTCCAAGCCTTGCGCTCTAAACATTCAAGCCCAAGCGAAAGACGCCCTCGAAAACCAACCCGAAGCCCAGACGTCCCAGCCCTTTACCTTCATGTATACCCCTGGTTAGTGAGCCCTCCGCTAAAAAAATGGTGAAGAATATTGATGTATCAAGGGTCTGCATTGCAGCTCACCCTCACCAGCCGAGGTGCTGCCTATCGTCATCTTCGGGTCCTCTCTATGGGAAGTTGGGCTCCTTACCCTATAATGGGGCTATATAATGGGTATATAATAGCTATATTAAGGGTCTATACCTAGGGGTCCTTATTAAGGGTCCCTCCTTTTACCAAGGCTCAGGGTTCAGCGGCGTCGGGTTAGGTGCTTGGAACTGAAGGCTGGAGGCGTAGTGCCAAATGTAGGGGGAGATTCCTCGTAGAATGATAGTATGATATACCGTGATATACCCCCAAATCCTGTTCTGATTATTAAGACACCTAGATTAGGGCGAAGGAAAGCGGCTCGAGCTTTGAAGCTGAAGGTGAAGATAAAGATGAAGGTGATGGTGAAGATGAAGGTGAAGGTGATGGTGATGGTGATGATGCTGCTAATATTTACGATGATGATGGTGATCACCGAAATTTTCATCTGCAGCACTACCAACAGCATCACTGCTGCCATCATCAAACTCACGGGCCACCATCCTCAGCCTCCGCATCACGACTGCTACTGTCGTCATTCTTACCGTCTTGCTAGTAGGCTGCGCGGCTTTGTCTATCCCTGTCCCTGTCTTATCATTGCACTTGCTTTCGAACTGGTGGTTGGATGCTCTGGCTGATACGATCCGTCCTAACTCGAAATCCTAAAACATTCAGGGTAATGTAGGAACCTGATTAAGAAACCTTGGGCCTGTATTACGGTTCTTAATATGGATCCGAACATGCTGGGGTCATCGGGCCAGGATTTCTTAATCAGGTTCCTACACTACGTGGCTGTGAGTTCGCCGTCCTTTACCAACCGCCAGTCTCTGCTGGAGTAGATAGTCTCCTCGCCGTCGTAGCCACGGGCCTTGGAGGCTTTGGGATTGAAGGCTTCGTTCGGGTGACTTTGAGTTTAGGGTTTAGGGTTTAGGCATTAGGGTTTAGGGATTAGCGTTCAGGGTTTAAGGATTAGGGTTTAGGGATTAGGGTTCGGGGTTTAAGGATTAGGGCTCAGGGATTAGGGTTTAAGGTTTAGGGTTTTACCTCTTGGGCCTTTCGATTGGGTCTGCTCCATCCGCAGGGAAACCCGAGGAGACAAGAGACGAAAACCTCAGCTTTGAACAACCGCTCTGAATGCTGAACCTGTAAAAACCTTGTAGCATATGCACATGTGCAAGTGTACCTGCATGTGTGTATGTGTGAGAAGTTGTAGACATGTGTACACACACATCTGAATACATAAGTGTATACATACAAAAACAGATATACACACAAACACATATAGGCATGCGTGCATATACATACATACATACATATATACACATACACATACACATACACATACACATACACTCATACATTCATACATTCATACATTCATACATTCATACATTCATACATTCATACATTCATACATTCATACATTCATACATTCATTCTTTCATACATTCATTCATACATACATTCATTCATACATACATTCATACATTCATTTATACATGCACTCAAACATTCATATGCCCATACATGCATACAGTCATAATTGCATAGATACATCATGCGTATGTGTATTTGTAGATGTTTGCTTACTGCTCATTCGTTTTCGAACAAGTATACTTATACGAACGTCATTCCAAGACACCATGATTGAGGAGATGATGCGATCGGCACAGGAACAGTGCTGCTCTTTGAAGAAGAGCACTGCGCAGTCTGCGCACAGACAGGGGGAGGTGTTTAGGTCTGAGCCGTGGGCCAAGCTGAGGGAAGCTCCAGATATCTAGGTTTAGGGGTTGGGGGTCTTAAATTTTGTGAGTGTCACTCCTGAGCTCTACTCCCCCACCAGCCTACGGAAGCCAAAAACATGAAAGGATCGGCATTCTCGCCTGCAGGTGTCAGTGCCTCTCACCTGAACTCTAAAGACTCCCACATCCTAAACCCTTAACCTTCAACTCTGAACACTCCGAATCCTAGACCTCGAGACTCTAACCTAAGAATCCAAGAACAGAAGGCTAGCCCGCTATGAACCCTACAGTCCCTAAAAACCCCAAACCCAGCTTGAAAGCTGGGTCCAAAATTCACAAACCAAACAGTAGGACCGTTGCTACGAAGACCCCAAAGAGAACACTCTTCTTGGAAGAAACCCTGAACCCTCCAAGGTTGGGTCTTGGACGTGCTCATCTTGCGTTTTACGGCTTGGGGTGGAGGGTGTCTCATCTGCTGCTTGGGTTCAAAGCCCTCAACCAGGTTCGGGGTTCAGGGTGTTTGATCTAGGGCTTAAGGCTAAAGATTTGAGGCGTTTAGGGTTAGGGTGTTGGGAACAGGTTTATGTACGGCCTGGAGGACTCCACTAAGAGAAGCTTTGCGAAGAAAGGCCCCTTTTTGTGGACCTCCTCAGCCTTATAGGGGTTATCTCGGGATCCCTAGATCCTTTAACCCTAAACCCTAAACCCTGAACCCTAAATATCCCTAAACCCTAAACCCTAAACCCTAAAACCTGAACCCTAAACCCTAAACCCATACGGGCTCCTTTAAAGGGACCCTGTAGTGTAGGGCCCCGAAAGACCGGCCCGGGCGCCTCGTTTGGACAGCTCTTTGACGTCCCCTTTGCTCAGCCAGAGAAACTTGTCATACCAGAGAAGCGCCTCAGGTTTAGGGTTTAGGGTTTAGGAGTTCGGGGTTTAAGGGTTTAGGGGTTAGGGGTTAGGGTTTAGGGGTTAGGGGTTAGGGGCTTAGGGTGAAGGGGTTCAGGGATTCTCGGTCTCGGGGTCTTGAGGATTGATCAGACGCGGGGTTTCAGGGTTTAGGGTGTAGGGTTTGGGGTTTAGGGTGTAGGGTTGGGTTTCTGCATATGACGTATGGCGAATTTTCGGGTTTATAGGGTTCAGGTCCTGCACGGCTTTGGGGTTTAAACTCTAGGGTTTGGGGTTGCCCTGGCATACAGCCCCGACAGTTCAACAGCGAATCTGTGCAATCCACTCCAGGGGGCCTGAATAAGTGAACTAGGATTTTGGAAACCTTGCAGCATAAATATACAATGAGGGACCCTGTTGAGCCATGAAGAATGTTGGCAAAGATGCAGGCGTCTGCAATACTCTTGGACCATCGAGGCCTGAAGCAAGTGCTACAAATGACCTAAACCCAAACCCTAACCCCTAAACCCTAAACCCGCTGCAGAGCGCCTTCTGCCGATCGGTTACACCAAAGATCAGGTGCGGCATCACCTCGGGCTGTTCTACGCTGCGGTTCTTTCTGTCGAGATGTCAGAGCTTCGGGGCTCTTATGGTACTTCCCTAAACCCTAAACTGAGGGGGTTTAGGGCTTAGGGTTCACCATAAAACCTAAACCCTAAACCCTACGTGATTAAGGATTCGGGATTCGGGGTTGGGATTTTGGGTTTGAAGCTGAAGACCTTTAGTGCCCTCACTGTGCCAGAACCACCATCCACCACATGAAAGCATGCATGTGCGAAGGTTCACACTAAACCTCAAGCCTAAAACCCTGCTTCAAGGATTATGAACTCTCATCACCAGATGTCTCTGCGGCTTGTGGCTTTACTCATAGCCCGACATATGGGTAGTTGTCAAAATTAGGGTCCCTTTTTGGGTACCCTGAATAAGAGGTGCAGTATTGTAATAGGGACCCAAAAAGGGACCCTAATTTTGACAACCACCCATATATAGGACCCAAACCCGGAGGCTGCGCACCCACCGATCTTCAACCACACCCCGCCTTGATCCCTTAGCCGTGAACTCGTAGCAACTGGGTGCCGCTATCTCCCGCAGAGGCTTTCGAATCCTAGGCCCCCTTAGCCCTGAACCCTAAACCCCTAAACCCCTAAACCTTAAACCCTAAACCCCTGAACCCGAAACCCTCAAACCTAAACCCTAAACCGAACTCTAAACTCCTGGGCCCGAACCTCAGGGCCCCCCGAAAGATTCGCATCGGCCAGGCACTGTGGGAGCCAGGAAGACCACTAGAGTGATGACCTGATCAGCGGCCCGGAATTAACGCTTGGGGTTTGAGGGTTAGGGTTCAGGGTTGAGGGTTTAAAATTGCTTCGGGCTCTACTCTGCGAGACTGACGCAAAATTAAGATCCGACTTGATGGTTCAGGCATTTCCACCACAATACAAAAGGGCCTTGATACTAGACTAGGGCTGCAGGGAGGTGTTCCTTTAGCTTTCTGTGAGGGAACTACAAGGCAACAGTCTTACTCACGATGCCGATGAACTCGCAGCCTGCCCTTGCCCCAAGTAACTAGGCTGCTTCTACTTCACACTCACTTGAGCTAGGATACCCAGTAACCTAAGAATAAACAGGCCCCTCTTTTTGGTATTGGGTAACTTTATAAGGAACCGAGGACTACAAAAAGTGAATAAGGGTACTACTGGGCATCCTAGTGAGACATCGGGGCTGAGGAAAATTTCATTCACTTGCAACCAAACTGGGTTGGACCGCACGATGTTTGAATCATCCCCCGGCGGCATTCTGGAGAGGGATCTTTGCACATGGCAGGGTTCAACCCTGAGCATGTGCAGTTGCTTAAGGGGTCTCGGGCTTCAGGGTTTTAGGCGTCGGGGCTTCTAAATTCCGGTGTCCTTCTTGGCACCGTAAATAGCAAGGAGTAGCAGAACGTCAGACAATGAGCTCTGATATAGGACAGTATAACATAATAGAGCAAGACGCAATGAAATATGACATAACACAAAATCATAACATGCAATACCATAAAGACTAGCATACGCTCAGAATAAACTAGAAGAGGATGCAGGGTAGTATAAGACAATATACTGTCTAAAATGCCCACAACATGCTACAATACAACATTAAAGACTGGAGTAGTATATAACAGAATATAGCATAGTGGTCCATAACGTCATGGAAAAAGTAGGAATATAAGCCAATCCACTGCAGCGAAATACAGCACAATGCAATACAATATAGTATAACACCATTTCATATAGCCTCGGGTGATCCAATGTCATAACGTGCAACGTCATACCACGTACTGTAACCGAAAGCAATATCAAATGATGTAATGTAATGTTCAACAGCTTAATACATTTGAGCATGATATGATATAGCATAGTATCTTATAATATAACCTCACCGGACAAGGAATGAAGTTGGAGGCCTTGGAAGTTGGAGACGATAGGCTATACTATTTTGGGGGGGCTCCCTTACACAATTACAGTATAATGGGCCCCCAAACCTTGTAGGCGCGTCCGAACTTGGACCCACAGCCTCATGAAAGAAAAAGAAAGGGCCCCCAAACCCTTTCTGACTTCGGAACGACCCCAAAAAAACAAAATTGGCGCAAGCATCGGGGTGGAGGATGGAGACACGACGCTTGAGACCATGGTTTAGGGCCCACGGTTTAGGGGTCTAGGGGTTTTAGGGTTTAGGGGTTTAGGGTTTAGGGTTTAGGGGTTTAGGGTTTAGGGGTTTAGGGGTTTAGGGTTTAGGGTTTGGGGTTTAGGGTTTAGGGTTTAGGGTTTCTCAGAATGAGACAGGATTTGTCGCATTCCTGATGACCGAAGAGCACGGAAAAGTTTCAGAGTTGTAAGGAATGCGGGCGAAGAAAGTCCTCGGAGTGCAGTGATCTAACCTGGATCTGCACCTCTCACAGTACGTTAGGCTCACCCGCACACCTAAGATTAACATATCCGCCCACTCATCTAACAATAGCGGACATGCCCCTAAACCCAAAGCACAGTTTAGCCTTTTCATCTGCTACCGGGTCAACAGCTCGGGGTATGTTGCAACGTTGCAACATATGTCAAGGAGGTATATGGCACTGGTACGGGGACAACACCATTGGCGTCAATAGCCCTGCGTCCCACACCATTGGCGTCGAGCCACCATAACCGGAACCACTCCGAACCATTCCCACCGGCACCTGTCGAGATCACGGGCATTTGGCGGATTTGAAAGCAAGAAATGCAGAAAGCACTGAATATCATCCCAAAACCCTAAACCCTCGTGACCGCTGCCTGAACTCAAAGGTTTGGGTCTAGAACTTATGGTGTCGGGTTCAAGGTGTCAGGGCAGCCTCAAAGATTGCGAGATGTTGCTTTTTGTACGGGTGGTAATTTTTTGACCATGGGCATCAAGAGACAATGAAAGGCAAATCTTCCCAAGCAGCTTTCCGAGTTCAGGGTAATGTATCGTGACAACTGTCGCCTATAAACACCCCTCCATGTGTCGGTCATGCAGGGACTGGAACTCCCCGAAAGGTACTCGAAAAGGTCATGTGTTAGGTGAACTTTTTCCAACAGCGGTGCACAGCATCTGTGAGATCTATCTATGGTTTTTTGGAAAGTTTTGGGTACATCTGCGAGACATATTCTATGGTTTAGGGAAAGTTTAGGGTACATCTGTGCGAGAGAAACCACCAGCGCAGACGCAAACAAAACTACAGGGAGTTGAACTTGAAACATACAGCCAGCAAACATGCAAGTCACCTGCAAAATACAATGCCGATTTCCAAGCACGAGGCGGGGCCGCATAGTTAGGACTGGGCCTTGGGTTATATTATACCGTACTCGTGCGGGTAATAAGCGGGCTATATTTGTCAGCAACTGGCTTGAGGCATGGGGCTTTCCTGGTGCATGATGAGGATGCATAGTGGCATAATTTGTGAAAACAGAATGCCGCGAAGACCGACCTGCTCGCATGTTGGACTTCGCAACCGACAGCCATGTGACAGGCCAGAAACAGGATCCCTCCAAGGGAAATCGGGGTGCTAACAACGTTGACCCAGCGGACTTGCATGCTAAAGCGACTAGCTGACTAGGGTTTACGGCTCGCCACATCGGGATGCATGTCGGGTTTGCAGGTAACAGGTACATGTGGATTCTGAATAATTGCAGCATATCACGTGGTTACAGCGTGTCAACGAGATGCCTTTCTTGAAGCAATAGAAGCATGCGCGCAGTTAGACTCTTGATCTTGTTTGAACCCGTCCTGTGGCCCATTTTGATATCCTTGTGCAGCGGTGACTTTTGAGAGCCGGCATGGTTTTGGATGTCCGGGCAGGATGGCTGTACAAACACGCGGCATACACATCACGCCTGTGCCTGTCTCTTCCCTCCTAGTACTAGTACTAGTACTAGTACTAGTACTAGTACTAGTACTAGTACTAGTACTAGTACTAGTACTAGTACTACTACTACTACTACTACTACTGCTACTACTACTACTACTACTACTACTACTACTACTACTACTACTACTACTACTACTACTACTACTACTACTACTACTACTACTTACTACGACGACGACGACAACTACTACTACTACTACTACGACCGCTACTACCACTACTACGACTACGACGACTACTACTACTACTTCTACTACTACTACTACTACTACTGCTACTACTACTACTACTCCTACTACTACTACTGCTACTACTACTACTACTACTACTTCCCGTTCTTCCTCCTCTTCCTGCTCCTGCTCCTGCTCCTCTTTTGTCTCCTCCTACTCCTCCTCCTGCTCCTGCCCCGGCTGCCGCTTCCCATCCGGCTCCGACTCCTACTCCTGCTGCGGCTACTACTACATATGAAAAACACACGGATCCCACACTCTGTCAACTGCCACTGCGTCATCGCATCGACCACAACAGCTTGCACCTTCAGCCTACACGAACCTGGAAAACGCAGTCTAGATGGGTAGTTGTCAAAATTAGGGTCCCTTTTTGGGTCCTCACTATGGTACGGCACCAAACATTTAGGGTACCCCAAAGGGGACCATAATTTTGACAACCACCCAGATAGGGTTTAGGGATCTAGACAACCCGAGCTTGATCCTCCAAATCTCGTTTGGACCGTCGAATCTTTGATCCCCAAACTACTAGTAGTTGTAGTTGTAGTTGTCGTTGTCGTTGTCGTTGTCGTTGTAGTAGTAGTAGTAGTAGTAGTAGTAGTAGTAGTAGTAGTAGTAGCAGGAGTAGTAGTAGTAGCAGCAGTAGTAATAGTAGTAGCAGTAGTAGTACATTTTCTTGGAAGCAATGATGCCAGATTCCAGGTGGGGGTCATTATTGACCATCGTTGATACGGACTCCTAACCCAAGGTAGGTTTTGAGATTGGGGGCTTAGGGTTGTACTATGTCTTCCGGGGTTTCCTGGGTCCTAGTGCTCAGGAGCTGCTTCGAATGGAAGATGGGGGAATATCAGGTTTAGGACAGACATGACAATAAGAGACCCTAAGGAATGATTTCCTGTTCCTGTGCAGTCTCCAGAGCCCTATTCGGGCGCGACCCAATGATATTGGCAATTGTTCAGGCTTCTATATCACATGCATTGCGCAGAAAGTCTCAGACACAGCAAAGCTCCTCACAAGACTTCTTTGTCCTAATGCCCACACTTCGCGGCTTTACTGACTACACAATAAGCCACACAAATAAGAGGTTAAACTTTCCGATTCCTACTAAGCTATAAGACACTATAAGGACCCAAAAATTCAAAGGTTAGGTATTGGGGATCTAAGTTTCCTTGCACCAAAACGCGCTCTAAATCGCAAACTGCGAAACGATATCTTAATTGCCTGAGCTCAAAGGCCAACACCTCTAAGAGGCAATAGCCCACATCCCGAACCCTACAACACTAACTAAACCTTCCATCCTTGACAAGAAACAGGTAAGCTGAAGCCATCATCCCAAAACCCCAAACCCATAACTTGCACCCGACAACCTCATACATGAAGCCTCCTCCACAAACGCAGCCAGTGCCGCGTTTCCAGGGCCATCGCGACAAGGCATACGAAAGTCAAAGATTTGCTATCGGGTAACTACAGGGGTGTATAACGATACTGGTCTACTATCGGTGACTACAGGGGTAGATAACTCCAGGGCTCATAGTCATGGTTTCTACACAAAGCTCCTTACAAAAGTAAGTCCTACCTCTCTCTTTAATTTAAGGAGCTTGATGTAAAACCAGGGGAGCCCGAAAACGGTAGCAGGTAGGTCTTTCGGGTCAAAGCCCAAGCTGTAAACCGCCAGTTTCTCACCCTCGCGTCTTGGGCTCGGTTGTTCCTCGACCCACGGCACCCGAAGCCAAGCGTTTACGGCTTAGGGCTCAGGTCAGGGTTTAGGGCATAGACAAAATGGTTAAAAACAAAAACACACATGCAAAAGAACCACAAAACAAAATAGAAACAACACCGAAAACCCAAAACTCTGCTTTTCAGGACTCCCAAACCCTAAGCCCTATTCCTTACCTCAACCCTGAAACTCCGAGCTCGCTCAAACATCCGTAGGGCTACTATTCTTTGGATTTAGGGTCTAGGAATTAGGGTTTAGGGTTTGGGGTATATCTTCATTATATGTACTATTCAACCCAGACCTCCCTGCGGCAGAAGCAGCTCGACGCAAAGGTAGCAAGATGCCATGTCCATGAGAGCATGGGGTAAATGATAAAGGGGGTCCTCCCGGGTTTACTGGCTGAAGGGGCTCGGGGCTCGAAGGTTTCAGGGTTTATGAAACAGACCCACGTCATAACTAGGAGACCCAGTAGCCTAAGAATAAAAAGGCCTCTCTTTTTGGTATTGGGTAACTTTATAAGGAACCTAGGACTACAAAAAGGGAATAAGGGTACTACTGGGCATCCTAGATAATATAGGGGCCAACAGGATTCGAAGAGGCTTAGGCAGCTAAGGAACCCCGAGGAAGGATGTTGGTAATGATTCAGGCCCCTACAGAGATCATCATCTTAACGAGGGTCATTGCAAACCGCGGGATTGTCAGGCACTTTAATGCCGATAACAACCAGTAATGACGACAACATTAATAGCAGTAACAACACGAACAATAGCAATACCAATATAAATAATGGCAAAAAGGAGCCCTAAGGTTCAATATTCCTAATTATTCTAATCCCCCCTAAACCCCAAACTCTAAACCCTAAGCCCGAAAAGCCTTCACCCTCAACCTTCAACCCTAAAGCCTAAGCCTCTAGTCCACGCTGCCACCGGGCTCCCCTGCGAGGTCTGCCTGATGGCCCCGGGCGTACCAGGCCTGGCGACGAGATACCCTAAGCAAGTTTCCACGGTTTGGGTTTAGGGTATGTGGTGTAGGGTTGAGGGTCTAGGGGTTTGGGTTTTCGGTAAGGCTTGGGGTTTAGTGGCCTTCGAGGCGTGAGGCTTTGGAGCAAGCTTGACAGGTTTGGGTTTGCATTTAAGCTGTCTCGGCCCCTGGGGCCTCCAAAGGGTGCAGAGTGGTTTAGGGCTTCCTGTTTAGGGTTTTGGAAGGGTGCAGAGTGGTTTAGGCTTTAGGACTTGTCGGATTCAAGGTTTACAGCTTGGGGTTTAGGATTTCGGGTTGGGGGTTGAAGCTACGGCTTAGGATTCGGGGTGGAGCTTTCAAGACTCAAGTCTGTGAAATCATGGCATTTTTCACCTGGAGGCCCAGCTTTTTAGAGACCCCAAAAGCATATAAGCATAAGCATTTTATAGGGATATCCCTACCTTGTTGGGCTTCATTATAAGGGCGTTTATATGGGATATCCCTATCCTAAATGTTGCTTATGTGCTTTTTGGGGCCCTAGGTCTTTGCATCCGCTTCAGCCCTGAAGACTTCACCGAAATGAAACCTGAGACGCCAAAGACATCAAGACCCTAAAGCTTAAACCGTAAATCCTACACCACCACCCTAAATCCTAACACCCCCAAGGCATGAATTCTGAACCTGCATCCCAGAGCCCTGGGGCATGGACTTTGCCACACTCTATATTCTGATCCTGCAGATCCCTAGCTGGCCCCCAAATTCCTAGAACCCAGGGATACCTTTGGTTTAAGAAACTCGCAGTTTCCAAAACCATGGGCCCTTACCCCGAAACCCAACAGGCATGCCGGGTCAACAGACTCCCTTCGGAGGATGTGCCATGGCCCTTGCTGGTCCTGTCACAGGGTTTAGGCTTCACGGTTAGGCAAGGGGTTCAGGGTTTAGGATGGCTATTCGATACGGTTGTGAGCTCGGTGTGACACGAGGTTCATGGCATGAGATGGGGTTCAGGGTTCAAGCTCTAGGACTCGCGAGCAAGGCTTCATATCTCACATCTTGGCCTATGGCTACTGCTACGATTGGGAGGGACCAGGTTGTCGAAAAAGGTCTGGTGTTTCGGGCTTGTGTCTCGGGTGCCAAGTGTACATGAGAAAGGGGTCTCTGTAATTCATATCCATTCTAGCTTAAGGGCATACTGTGCAAAGCTCGATCGAGAACATATAACGACACTATACAGAAATCTACCTTGTCAGAGCCCCACTACAGACTCACAAACCAAGAACGGCGCTAGCTTCCAAAAGTGCGGAAGAGTCTCAAATCATCTGAAAATTAAGATCTTCCAGCAATCTCCCCTGCGATCACCGTAAAGCCTGCCGTACATGAGCCCCCCTACCCCAGAACTGAAATCCCCACGCAACTTAAACCACCCCGAAACCCATACCAAGCCTAAACCCTACACCCTAAACCCTAAACCCCAATCCTGAACCAGAAAGCCGAACCTTAAACCCCACAGCCCAAAGCCCAAACCCTCCAGCCCTAAACAAAGCACACCGTGCCCTGCACCCGAAATCTACGGCCCAAAACACCCCAGGCCTTTAGAGTTTAGGGTCCAGAACGCTAAAGCCAAAATCTTAAACCCCTAAACGCTCAAGCCCGACGACCCATGACCCCTATATTAAGGAGCGCTCCGGCATAGCATTGACAATGCTTCAGGCCCCGAAATGGGAACCCTAATATAATACCCAAATAGTAGTATCCTTACTCTAAGGACCCCAAAAAAGGTACCCAAAATTTTCGGAAACTCCAAACCCTAAACCCTTTATAGAAACCTTATAGAACCCTTTAAGGAGCCCTTGAAGAGAACCCTAAGTGTTCAAGTGCCAACCATGAGCCTCCTCTTGGATCTCTTGAGATCAGAGACCATAGACTCGAGTTCTAAACAACGCTGCTGGAGAGCCTCTGCAAGGCCGATGGGGGCCCAATTCTCTGGGCTTTGGGCTTTGGGTTTAGTGGTTTAGGGCTTGGGCTTGGGGGAAAAGGGCTTAGGGTTAAGGGCTTAGGGTTTAGGGTTTGGGGTTTTTTTTTTTTTTAAAGTGTATTGGCTCTTTATCCACTCCGCAGGAGCAGGTCTCGGGCCTGCCGAGGTCGGCTTACACTACAAAGCAACTCTCAGATGGTCACCCTCATTGATGTCCAGGCCACCATCTATGGAGTAAAAGAAGAAAAGAAAGCGAAGATGCACATCACGAATCTCGGCTACGACTTCTGTCACGTATACGGTCCCCTCTTCGACGGCGAGATTCACCCCATGGACGGCTTACCCGACGACGTGCAACCCGGCGACGAAAATGTAGAGCACGAGATTGACGAAGTGGGCCAGGAAGATGAGCAGCATGTTCACGACGAGGATCATGATGGCTTGCAGCAGCATCAACAAAGCGAGGAGGAGGTCGTCGAGCACGATGACGTCGTCTTCCCGTAGTTGAACCACCAGGTACTCCGCCAAAAGTAGCAGACCCGGGTGCATTGCTGGCAACACCAAGCATTGGTGACATCGGAACATCAGCAGGCCAGTTAGGGATGCCAGCACTCTCATCTTGCTGTACTAAGTAGAGAGTCTCGTTATTCTCAGATGGCCAATTGCCTTCAGGAGCTGCCAGATTCTGTTCCACATAGAGCCTTGTGCTATGGACTCTCCAGGCACGACGACGATATCCAACAATCGTGTTTGGCGCCGTCCCTGGGAACATCGCAAGCATCGCCTCCACGGACAGAGGGAACCCAGGCGTGAGGAGTGCAGAAGGAGCCGACACCGTTACGTTCGTGGAGGTGGTGGTAGGTCCGGAGCCAAATTCCGCCTGATGAAGAATCGTAGACCAGATGGCTTGCTCGTAGGTGGCAGCATTGAGTGGCACAGCGGGAAGTGGAAGCTGAATCCAGTTGAGTGCCTCATCAATGGCGTCTTCCAATAGACGTTGTCGGTGGCGCCCTCGTCGAAGATGCACAAGAAGGCGTCGAACCAGCTCAATGACATCTACGTTCCCACCATGGATGAGGTTGACATTCACCACGTCCCGAACCACGTCCGACGGCCAGTTTATGCCCAGGGACGATGAGCTCGTCGTCGTCGAAGTGGAAGTCAATGCACTGAGATTTTGCATATCATCCCAAGATTCCACCATCCCCCACGTCTCCCAACCAGCGATTATCGGATTCAGTGAGGCTGACCACATCCAGGAGGAAAACATAGTCATTGTCGAACTTGCAGGGGTGGAAGACCAGGACGTCGTGCTCGTAGATGTGGTGGAGGTGATATCTTCTGCTGGTGCAATGTCCACATCATCATGGGGAAAAACACCAATGCCACCAGCAGAGTTCTCCTGGTTGTCGTCAGGCATGGTCTCACTATGGGAGGAGGATGCTTCCACAGGCTCACGCCATATACCTTGCAGTTCATCCGTAGGGAGATTGACTGGCAAGGGAGGGGGAGGGCCGAAGGGACCATGTGTAGGCGATCTTGGCGGTACCCACACCAATTCTCCCTGCGAGTTCACAGCCCACTCACTGTTCATCGACGGCACATGTACACTAGTCCCAGTCGGACTTCTGGATCTGGTTCGCCTGTCCCTCCGCCGAGAGGCACGTCTGCGCGATGTAGAGCGTCTCCCCGAAGTAGACGAACTGGCTGCCTCCGTCCCTCTCGAAGAATGCGCCCCTTCACTGGACGGAAGGCTTACCTGTTCCGGTG